ATATCTACTGGTTGAGTTAGTGGTAGAGGTATCTTTCGTGTCGCCATTTTCAACAAGCATTGTGCAATTATCATCATGAGCCGTAAGAAGCCTAGCTTCCTACGCAGACCTTCTTTGGGTTCGTCACGCAATCTTCCTCCCCCACGAACTTGATTGCGTGACGAGCCCAAAGAACGTCTGCGTAGGAGGCTATAAGAAGCCTGATACTAGTAATAACTTTGTAGTAGAAAGGAAAGGTAAGGATATCCCCGCTCTCGTGAGCAAGATACAGGATAAGATCTCATGAGTGAAAGAGCAAGCTACTCTCAAATTATGCCGGAGTTGAAGAATTTTAAGTAATTTGCGTGGAGAATAGGAAATTTGGTAAAAAAAACCCTACAATGATTAAATAATTGCGCATTAGAAAGTTTAGATAGACCTATTCCAGCCACGCTGTTTTCTTTTGTTTGTCCCCTCGGAGAAACACTTCGTACGAAAAAAAAGCAGTTAACTCTTGAATTCTTACGAGTGACGAACATCTAATTTCTCCTTACAATATCACCCCTGAATCTCACTTTAAGGTCACGTGAATAAAGGAAKTGATCATCAACTAAAGAAGCTTTCGATTGTTAAACAAGTTCTCCTTGTCAGCACCTTAGGAAATGTATAGAGAGCAGTAGAGAGAAAACGCATGTTGATGTCAGCTGGCAAAAGGCTAACCTTCATTATACCGATAGAATCACTTTAGGCCATTTCCGAGTTCTCGTAGATTAGTGATCTGCTGGTGCGGAATCTGTAGAAACAAGAACTACAGAAAACATATAGCCACCAGCCGAAAGGATTAATCGGTCAGTTCACAACTAGTACGGATTACATACGTGATCTAGCAAATAATAACAGCTAGGGAAAGTGCGAAAGTAAATTCTTCGAAGTGTACAGTTGGCAAAATGCTCGCGTGAACGTTTGTGATGTTTTTAAAATTTGAATGCGTGACACGATTTACCTTAATTGAAAGCGTCACGCATCCCTCCTCAGCAGGGAAACATAGCAGTAATCTCATGCCATTGCCATTGTTTTAACGACAAAAGTCTTGGAAGATTGAATGAACTCGGAAAAAAGTTTAGTTTAGGGTTCAAATGGTGATAAAAGTAAATATTATATGTTAAGTATATAAGAACGATCCTTCGCAGTAAAGCACTATTTGAGCAATAGTGGAAATCAGACCTGAAAAAANAGACACTGAATTAACCTAACTTCTTCTTATTATTATTATTATTGTTATTATTAACATTATTATTATTATTATTGTTATTATTATTATTATTATTATTATTATATTCTTACAAATATATATAGGTATGTGTAGTGTTTTTCTTGTTTGGGTGGCCTTTTGTAAGGGAACCCTTTCCTGTTTCTTGGCCTTCCCCTCAGCTTTGTATATATGTTAAGTTTGTTGAGAAAATGATTAAAGTAAAGTAAAGTAAAGTAGGACGAGGTCCTTTTCAGCTACTGCGAGCTACCGCAGATTTTGAGGTACGTGGCATGTTTTATTGGACCTGACATTAAATCAGTGCACAATTAATTATGCTAATAAACAAACCAGCAGACCCTGGAACAATGTCGTCACGCCATCCCTCCATCAAGATCTGCATTACTTTCACTTCCGTCCAGCCAATCAAATGGTATGTTCTTGGACAGCAATGGAATAGGTCCACAGGCGCAATGGCTGCTTAGTAGCGCAACCGGGTACTCAGTACAGCCCACTTCTGCAGCACTGTTACCCTGAGTGGGAGGTAAGAGAAACTCATGTTTATTGCATTCTAAGAAGTAATTTATTGTTTTCTAGGTTAAAACCACCTCCTAAGCAAAGCACGTTGTAGGGCATCACTATCTTACAGTACCAGATTGTATACTGCAGCAATGTAAGTTTATCTTGCAATCTCTCTTCCATTGTCCCCATGACCTGTACAAAATTAAATCTTTACTATGTAATCAAGTTCAAAGTTGACAATCGGGATCTATTCAGAACAACTCTATGAACCTTGTAATGGGCCTTGCTCACCTTGGAGTCTCTGTAGCTCGGTGGTAGAGCATCAGAGCATGAAATCTGAAGGTCTGAGTTTCCATTCCTGATGGAGACTTAGAATTTTTCCTTTGTTCCATACTCATGACAAGATGAAAAACATCCTCTCTAACACAGAAAATGAGTCCCTTTTGCATTCACATGGACCCATGTTTTCATATAAGAATGTGGTAGTGATCTCTGATCTCAGGCATACAGAAAAAAAAAACTGTGGTGGCTGAAGATGGACAAACAGGTGGAGGATGCCATACGTTCATGCCATCCCTGCCAGCCTGTAGGAACAATACCAAGAGTGAAAACAGAACCCGTGAGGTCAAGCAGTCTGCCTGATGGGCCCTGGCAAGAGATTCAATTGATCTTCTTGAGATCCCAAATGGTGAACACCTTTTGGTGGTTGTCGAGTACTATTCTTGTTGGCTAAAGGCCATTCCCCTGAAGAAGACGGATGCCCAACATGTGACAAAGAGTATGGAAGCTATTTTCAGAACACATGGATTACCAGAAGCTGTCCGCAGTGACAATAGACCGCCATTCATGTCAAAGGAATTCGAGAGCTTCCTAGAATACCTGGGGATAAGCCACAAGGAGGGCGTACCTTACTGGCCACAGAGCAACGGAAAAGGGGAATACAACAATGAAACAATTCTAAAGATAGTGCGCATTGCTCGCCTTGAAGGGAAAGATTGGAGAAAAGCACTTGAGAACTTTCTCTTCCAGTATAGAGTTACCCACATACTGTTACTGGAGTGTCACCCGCAGAACTACTGATGGGGAGGAAGCTGCACGACAAGCTTCCCCAAGATCAATTCTCCAAAGACCGTACAACGGAAGCATTTTGGCAACAGCTGCTGATTGAGAAAGACAGTCATGCAAAACTCCGCCAAAAGGAATATGCAGACAAAACGTGAGGAGCTAAACACAGCAATATTGAGGAGGGCGACAAAGTGCTATTAAAGCAGACATGTGAAAACAAGCTCTCACCTAACTATGAGCCAGAACCTTACACTGTCACTCACAAAGATGGAAATGATGTCATCTTACAAGACACGAATGGGAACAATAAGATGCGCAACAGTGCTCACATGAAAAAGTTTGTTGATCCTGAAACTGTTGACAAAGGGGAAATAGATATGCAGCCAGACCTAGCTGAGCAGCCAGTGAAGCCCAAACAGGATCACGCAAATCCCAGTGCTAGTCAACCAGCAACAGATACAGAGGAAGCTCCATCTAGCCCCTTGCCTTCATTTGCTTCACGCCCTGTGCGTTCAGGCATGTGCCTGCCTGGATGCGAGGTTATGTATGCTTGTAGTTTAAATTATTTAGAAGAAAATGAGAGACTCTGAACTTTCTTTTGAACACTTAATTAGTCACTTCGAGTTTGTTATCTCCACCTTCATGAGCTTTTTTGGATTTACTTGTTTGCTTTTTGTAATAACTTAGGGGGAGATGTAGTGTTCTGTATGTTCATTGTGACTGTTTTATTTTTATGGGATATGTTGTAGCAAGCGTGTGGTCTCGAGATGTCAAATCATTGAAACATGTTGTTGTTATGAAGCCAGTTGTTTAGTATATTAAAATGAAGACACCACAAAGTTATGTCAACTCTCTGAAAACTTGTAAGTGCTAACACTGGAGAGACTTTGCATAGATATGGCTTGCAGGTAACTATCTAACAGTTTCCGTGAAAAACCTTACAATGTAGTTTATTTCTGCTTGCTGGCTCTTTTTTTAAATTTAGAAGGGTCTGAAACAGGCCACGGCAGAACTCGTTGATGGTTAGGTTACTGGTCAAATGTGAGCAGGAAAGATTGCTTTAAAACCACAAACCCTTCTCCTTTGCATAGTGATATTCTTTTGCCAGTATGTGTCAAATTTCTAAAATTTCTTGTGGTTACAGCCATGCAGGCTTCTTTTCTATTTTCACTGAAAGACTCTTCTTAAATCATTTCCCCTTTACGGTCTAGTTTTAAACACAGACAATTAGCAAAGATCACCACCTACAACTGAAATCAGATGTTCATGCGATTGAAAAAAGATATGATCCCATCACACCTTAGTGCAAGGAAAGCTTCATAATGTTCCATTTTAGTGCGTCTTGTCTATGGTACAGAACAGAACCATCTCTTAGAAATACCTACTCACAGAAGTACTTTTTAAGAGAACTTCAAAGGACAATGACACTTAAAAACTCTGTTACTGAACATTTTTATCTTGACTGATTTAATATTTAATTATGTAACATTTAAATGACTTAATACTTTTATATTGATTGATTTAATATCTTATTTCTGTTTCTTGTATATTTATTGAATCTTTTGTTGAGCCGAATTTTATTTTAGATGTTTTAACATCCACACACTACCCGCTTAGACTTAGGCTCTGCCATTTGTGGGTGGTGCGTCATTATTCTAAGTGTCATGTCAAGTGTCAATTCATGTCTGTGTCATGACTTCTCAAATTAATTTAATTAAAGTTATTAAATTTCCTTATCTTTTTCTTTTTGTTTAGTATGTTCTAATTTTAGATTAACTTAGGGAGGGCCATTATGTTAACTACTGAGTTATCAGTAATTGATGTTACCTTGGCTCATTAAATAGAGTTTATTATTATAATTATAATTATTAAATACTGGATCATTGGATAATGCAATTCAAGACTTTTTATTGACTTAGCTGTTATGGTATATGAGCCAATATACCATAATCTAATATCTGTACATTGAAACATCCAGTTTCTTCTTACAAAATAAAGTCGAGAAGATTTGTCTAATATCTTAGGAGCGTTTTTTTTTTAATAAAACAATTATTCCACTTGTTGGATATGAGATGATTATAGCCAACTCATATTCAATGCGCGCTCATGGAATAATTGTTAATTATTATTACTAGAGTGTAGACTTTACTTTTACCACTTTACTTTTGACACCAGGCTAGATCAGGGCACTATGCAAGCCCACACTGCTGTTATATTGATGTCAAGGGAACCAGTCAAGAGAACATTGCAGCTGAAACTTTACATGTTGTACACAAGAAGCTTGGTGCAGATATTGACGTCTCTTTTGAGGTATGAAAGAAAATGCTTTGTCTCATTTGTAGCGTTTATGATGGTACTCTGGGTCAGTTGTCACTACTCTGATTTTGAGCTTTTGTGCAAATTAAAGAAATTTGTTATTAATTTGATTAATTCTTTTTTCGCTCAGGACATTTGGGGGATGAAGAGTCATCTAGTTCAAGGCAGTGAAGGAACCCTGAGACATTCATTGAACTCCATTGGTGTTATTGGGTCACACCACATAGTTTGCATACTGTAAGACCCTTGGGCTATTGCTTTGCACCACTTGTATACAATGCACTGTTAAAGGCATTTTAAAATGAATATTGATCAGGACAAATAAATCTAATTGTTATGTTGAGTGAAACCTTGAATTGCATGTGCATTAGTTCTGAATCCATTCTGCATGTAGTGAACATTAGACCACTGCTTAGAAAAAGGGGAAGATATGAAAAGTGTAAGATACGATTATTTTGCAAGATATGATTATTATGCGTGTGTGGTGCTTAAGTCCCTACAAACAGAGAAATAACATATGAATTAATGTGGACATGAGATGGTTGAAAAATTAAATTTTAATTACATTGTTCACATTACATATGTATTACATCAAAGTGGTACTTTGTTAATTATAGAACCTTCGTTATGCACCTGCTGTTCATGATCTATGTTGATGTCAGTGATCATATACTGTATCATGTATTTAATTTAAATACAACTTTTTATCAGTTAAGAAAAATAATTGGTGTGAAATAAGGTAGGCTTATTCTTATCAGTGAATTTCAGCCATTGTATATTGAAGGAGTGGAAATGTTGGTCCGGGGAACCAGACAGAATCATTGTAGTGTCTTTTCTCAAGCTTACTTTTGATGGAAATGGCGTTAAATAATATTGTCTGAAAAAATGTTGACGCACAGCAGTCCAGCTCAAAGATAAGGGGACATCGCAGACTTGTATCATACGCTTGTACGACATGTATGCCTCTTTAAACAGATAAGTTTAAAAACACATTACACATTTAGACAAAGTGAGTGTGCCTGTGCAGGGCACATCACGCCACATTTCCTCTTTCTCAAGAACGATAGAAGGACTCGGTCGGAGCGCAACCTGGCCTTCTTAACAACGACAGCTGCGCATTTCCATAATGCATAAATCAATACGCTAATCAGCCTCATTGTGTACCGTCAAGAAACTTGAATTCAAGTTCAAGGTAGGTATATAGCAAGACTAACCACCATAGAGACGGATATCTGTGATAATTATTAGATGTGTGCGCAAACGGCATCTTTCTTGACAGAACAAGAAAGATCGCTACATTTCTGATCGATGTCCCAAATACCTGAACCAAATACCGAGACGGTCGCTCATCGCAGAAAACAAAAAAATTTTCCAACCTTTTCGCACAGTAAAGGAAATATCTGTTAAAGTCTTACTTAAAGTATAGGCAAAGGGTTGCATTGAAGACCATTTAATGAGTTTTAAGACTAAGGAAAGTACTTAGACTGCGGGACTTTTCAAAAGTGTTCAGCCGTTGTTATTCCTGCGTCGTTGCTTTCGGTTTCTTCCAACATAATGTCCACTACAGCTTGTGGTGTATTTTGGAAGACGCTAAGGAGAAATTATAATACAATGTCCTATATATTAAGAAGAAAATGCAAAGAATGCGCCTTTATCTGCTGTCGATGAACGAGCCTTTTTGTTTTATCCCGGAATGTAGGCAATCTTAGAGTTTATTATGTAAATTCTGTTTGGAAACAATTTCCGCTTCAGTTCTTTCATACGTTCTAGATTGTTCCCAGTCTGAATGGGTAAAAAACAGCAGTAGTGGTAACGTTAAATTAACTTCATCTTTCGTTTACAACTGCCACAATCCTTCCTCAAATTTGGTAATTTTGGCAAACGGGCTGTAGTGTATTGATTTCCATAACAACCGCATCACATCATATGCTGTACAATAGTTACATTCTGTAACAACTGCCTGCTTTAAAACTACTATTCCTGAGTATCTGTAAAATTGTACTTTATAAGTAGAATAACTACCTGCAATAAAGGGGAGAATTACACAGGTGAAAGGGACGAGAGCACTTATCGTTGGAACCCATAAATGACAACTCTACACCGCCAATTTTTTCATCAAGAATGCGAACACTTAAAAGAGATCTTCACATGTTTGCATTACCCAGAGCCCCTCAAAACACCATCAGGTCCCGGTTGTTCGAAAGCCGATTAAATTATCACTCGATTAGAGGTTAATCGACGATTAAATTCTTATCCCAAGGATAGCTAATCTAGGTTTAAAATAACGTTCCTGAAAGCAGATTTATCCCTCGATTAACTATCCCACGATTAAGCTGAGATTAAACCAGTCAAACCGGTTATTAGGAGCCACGCGACTACGCGCGAACAAAAAAAAAATTGGAGGGAAAAAATGGCGGAAAGTGAGAGTGCACATGGAAATGGAAACCAAACGAAAGATAGAAAAAGAAAACAGAATTTTTCAGTGTATGAGATTGAAGTCATTACCGATAATGGTAAAAAAAATCTGGACTTAATCCAGTCCAAATTAACGAATGCTTTCGAACAACCGGGGCCAGGTCTTTTGTTGAAATGAAGGTGATGGAGGGCACGCGTCCCCCGCAACAAGCAGGTGAAATTCCCATGAGTATACACCTGCCCTTCCAGGATAAGATATCAGCAAATAACCTACGCGAACAACTTAGTAATCTTAGCCGTAAGATAAATACCGAAGTACGTCCTGTCTTTACAAGCAGCAAGATCAAAGATGAGCTCAAAGCTAAGGAACTTAAACCTCCAATTGTCAACCAGCAAAACGTTGTATATCACTTTCTTTAAGTGTGATCGGTGCGATACTAGGGACCTTACGCAACCACTACGGCGACGGCAACGAGGACGTGAAAAAACAAGATATCTAATTGGCAGAACAATAGCTCAGCACGTGCGTTTTGGAACTTTGTACATTTCTTAGCCGTCCTATGCAAAACAACAACGTGAAATCGCCAAAATTTGCGTCGTCTGCGAACCGAAACCGAGACGGCAAATTACTTTAATTTCCATTTGGAACTCAACGCTACTTTTATACGTTATGCTGAAGTTTTTGAGCTGTGGCGCCGTATAAGACAGTAAGCTCCAGCAACCATTTTTGAAATTTTAACTATGAGTAGAAATTGATTTTTTAATCGAAGTCTTCCTTGGCGTTGCCGTCCTGATTGCGTAATTAAGGTCCCTAATGATTATGTCGGCTTTACAAGCCCACACCTACATCAACGTGTGGACGAGCATAAACGATCGGTAATCGGCAACCTTGTAAGATAACATGGAATCGAACCATGTGAAATCGCAAAGAACTTTAGGGTCCTGAGGAAATGCTCAAACATGTTCGATTGTTTGATTTTCGAAATGTTTTTTATTCGGGACCTTAAGCCAAAACTGAACAAACAGAGCGATTCTATCCGCGCGAAGCTGTTTTCTTAACACTTCATATTAATTTTTATCTTTCAGTTTCACCGCTTATTTACACTTCATTTTTGCACTTTGTTATTAGTTATTCGCTCTATTGTTTATATGTAAATACTTAGCTTTTACCTTCATTCCATTTTTTCGGAAATCGTATACATGCGGAAATTTACTCATGAACTTTAACTTGAAAATGACCGTGCACCGGTCGAATTGTCGTTCATATTTTTTATCGCTCGTTTTTTTTACTAAATGTTTTAGTAACAACTTATTACTTTGGATTTGTCTTCTCATAAATTCCTTTAGGATTCCAAGGTTAAGAATTTTCTGTTTTCATGCTATGATTCTTCAAAAGCTAGTCGTTGGTTGTGTTTTAAATCTGCCATAGTATTTTCCATTGCCACACTTGTCGCTTTATCATCTCAATGTGGATGCACAAGCACAGTTAAACTACACTAAAAACCCGCGTGTAAGAACCTAGTTTTTTTCACGTCCGGCAAAATAGGTTCTTATGTTTTGGGGTATTTACTGACAACTTAGTAAAAACAGGTTGTTAATAGGTTCTTAAAATCTTTAATGCCAGACTTAATATTCTATACTATACTGTACAATACACTGTGTGCTGAATAACGTACTTAATTATACAGTTTAGAAGTTTGTACCCAGGAGTACATTTTTTTGAACTTCCTTTAATTCATGACTGGGAGCCACAAATACAGCGGGGAAACTGTAATGTGACATGTTTTATGGAAGTATCAAATGTGTACGTAGAAAACATTTATTTTAGTAGTTACGGACGTATTTTGCTACAGCAGTGTTTCATTATCCAGAATAACTCTTCTTATAAGAACCATGCAGGTTTTGCTGGGTAAACAGGTTCTTATATATATTTTTGAGTATTGAATTCCAAAATTTCTGCCAAAAAGGTTCTCACACGCGGGTTTTTACTGTATTCCATTGGAGGCTTATTACATTTAGGACCAAATGTTCTAAAACTCATTAATAATTCATAAGTTTGATTGCCAATAAAAAATGGCTGAATTCGTCAAGTGCATGAGTTTTGATACCCATTGAAAACTCAGATGAAAACCAAACGTGTTTTGGATCACATATCAAAACCACGCTTGGTTTTCATCTGTCTTCTCATTGGAGATCTAGATTTGTGAATCTAAACAAAACAAATTGAACACAAAAGCGATACTCCAGTGTAATTAATCATTATAATTAATCAGCTACATTTTCAGCTATGTTTTTTCGTTGACAAAAATTTTTACATCACAATTCGTGAACGAAGAAGCGTTAAAAAGTGAAAAACCTTCTGAGCTTTTTTTCTTCGTATCCGTTACCCTTTAATTTCGCTTCCTTATTTGCTGTCTTCGTTTCTGCTCCTAATAAAGCTCACACCTTACCGCGTGCTCTCCTCATCTCGGCATCGAGACAACGACGGAAAATGGCGAATCTGCAATAAAATATAGGAAGATTATAAAAAGATAGATCTATATTCTAATTGTAGAATTCAATGAAAATGATATCTTGCAATGAACATAAATTTGATATCCTCTCTTACCTTTTATCCGAAGGATCGAAAGGATTTAAAGCTTTGCTTCCCAGTTTCTTCTAAATGCCTTCGGATGCCACAGATAATTGCATAAAGGGTTCTTGCTGGATACACCTTCCCTTCACTATTCGCAACCTCCTGGACAAATTCACTAAGCCAGTAGTTTAAAGCGTTGGCATCCATATCTACCAAATCTGTACTCAACGACTGAACTTTGTACAAATCTCCATAATATTTAAAAGCGCCACCAGAATCAAGTACATAACTTTTCTATTTATCTGCCATTCGTGAAAAAATTTTAACCGCCCATTTTGTTTTGTAGACAGTCGACTTAGGAATGCGTCCTTGCAGCAACTTTGATTCTTCTTCCCCAGATTTTGGAGAACGAAAACGGCTTACATTATTCGCTGCAAAAGACTCTGCCATCTTCACTACCACATGACTTACAATGGACAACAACAAACTTCCCACATTCTGATTATTTTTTAAATTACATAATCTCATGGGAAATTAGAGCACTGAAACGATGCTCCCTAATTACTAAAGAAGTGTGGATAGTTTTAGTTTTAGAGGCCTACGGCCTCGTGCTATTATCTGTTTCTCGGTGTCTGGAAACCCCGGTCAAACACTCGCACTCGTTTTTGATATATTACTTATTATATTTCGGACAAAATGTTGTTACATTTAGGACGGTTATTACATTTAGGACTTCAACAAGACTACTTTCTCTTCTCACAGGAAAGACTATTATATATTTCAACAGGGCGTTTCTGGCAATCAAGGCAACCCACTGTTCGCAATAAAGACAGTTTGGTAAAGAGTATTCAAAGAACCAGGTGAAGAATTAAGATATACGATAAGGAAATCCAGAAGCAAGCGCTTATGGAAACACAGCTCATCGAGGAGCAGGTGACAATCACGAAACTGGTGTCTAAACAACAACGTTAACTTTCCCGGCGTTCCAAGTGATTCTGAAAGAGCTTCTCGATCCTAAGGTTGATGAATCCACTGATGAAAGCTCTTCACAGAAATTTACATTTTGTGTCCCAGTTTCTTGGCAGATCAAGACTTTCCTTCTGGGCCCGTTCCACTCTACTGGTGGGCGTATTTCTTTCATCAATCTATTTGATCAGAATAATCCACGATAAAATAAGCTATCCGCGATTCGAGCCTTGGTTTTGCACCAACGCGACAGAAGTCACTTCCAATCAAACGTGCTTCAGTAATGACACTAAAAGCATCTTGTTTTACACTCCTTGGTTCGGTTGGAAGCCATGGCCCGGGGACGAGACAACGGAAGCGTATCTTTCGGAATGTACCACAAAAAAATGCCAAATAACTTTTGACATCTATGACATAGGTAAAAGTGATCTGGTTATCTTTCATGCTGGTGATATGCCTCGTTATGTTAAATCGGAAGAAATTCGACAGATTCACGAGAACCGTTGCCCTCGGCAAAGAATGGCGTTTTTAAACCACGAATCCATTGTAAATGACCCAGATTTAGAGCGTCTTCTTTCCTTGCCCGAGGGATTCTTTAACTGGACAATAACTTTCAAAAGGGAGTCAGATTTTCTCTACCCTTATGGACATTATGTTCGTTTGCCATCAGCTGAAAGGCCCGAGAAAATTACAAACCATGCAGCTGAGAAAAATAAATTTGTGCTATGGGTTGTTTCAAATTGTGGGAGAACTCGAGATAAGTACGTAAAAAAACTTCTTAAATACATAAAAGTTGATGTTTATGGCCGTTGTTCCGGAATCTTTGGCCAAGACAATCGATGCACGCATTCAAAAAATTGCGATAATATTTTCAGCTCGTATAAATTTTATCTGGCATTTGAAAACAGCGTGTGTACCGATTACATCACCGAGAAATTTTGGCGAACACTTGGTTGGAATTCAGTGCCTATAACACTGACAAGAGATTTCTACACTCCAGATGTAGTCCCTCCAAACTCGTTTATAAGTGTGGAGGACTTTCCAACTGTTAAGGCTTTGGCAGAATACTTGTTATACCTGGACAAAAACGACACAGCCTATAATGAATACTTCACATGGAAAAAAGAATTTGCTTACGCAGGGATGTCGCAGATGAGAGATACAGCCTGTGACATATGTGATGCTCTCCACAATGAATGCCTTAAACCCAAATTTTATAAAGATATATTCAAGACTTTTTGGAATAGTGATGTTGATTGCAAAGAGAAAGAGGGTAGACTTTTACAGCTTATAGACAGAGAAGAAGAATGATCAATGTACCGGTATGTCGAATGTACGTTTGATTTTCAAATGTTACTTCCAGTCAAGAGAAGATATTCGGGAACGATTTTTCCATCTTGTCTGAGTATACTACTATTGTAGGCTTCAAGTAATTTATTAAGTATTGTCAGAAAAAAAAAACACTAATATCTACTGGTTGAGTTAGTGGTAGTAGGCATCTTTCGTGTCGCTATTTTTAACAAGTATTGTGCAATTATCATCATGAGCTCTAAGGAGGGTAATATGACTAATAAAATTGTAGTAGAAAAGAAAGGTAAGGATATCCACGCTCTCGTGAGCAAGATACAGGATAAGATCTTATGAGTGGAAGAGTGAGATACTCTCAAGTTATGAGTTGAAGAATTTTAGGTAATTTGGCGTGGAGAATAGAAAATTTGGTCCAAAAAATCCAACAATGATCAAATAACTGCGCATTATATAGTTTAGATAGACCTATTCTGGCCACGTTGTTCTTTTTGTTTGTCCCCTCGGAGAAACGCTC